AGTATTTATATCGTTTTTACCTCTTGTAACCACAGCCACGTCCAAGTGACCTGAAGGCGCGGGCGCTTTGGTCCGCACAAGTGCCGGAAGTGATCTCTCACGCGGTTGCAAAAAAAAAAAAAAAAAAAAAAAAAAAATCAAAGTTGTCTGTTGATATCGAGATTATCTTCCATTGCGATTTCCTGTATATCTAAATATGTTTAGATCTTCACAGTGAAGGATAATACTTCTGAAATCTCTGTGTAAGCAATGAGTGACGTACATGCACGAGAGATCACTTCCGGCGCACTTGAAGAACGGTGAGTTAAAAGAGGTAAAAACAATATAAATACTGTTCGTTTTCTCACACACAAACCGCTCGATTCGTGTCTTAGGCCATCAATACTTACATTTACAAGTCATTAAGCATGCTCTTTGAGGTGGTGACCATAGACTTGCATTATATGACTGAAAGACAAGAACGGTTTGACCTAAAAATATCAAAATTGAAAATACTGTGAAAACAAAGACACCTAAATCTTGGATGCCCTTGAGGTAAGATAAAACATATCAAAAAATAATTTCAAAGTGAACTATCCCTTTAAGTAATCGCAAAACAATTCCACCACACCATCTTTAGCTGGAAAGACAGAATTGTGTGGCTTTGTGTTCAGCCTCGAATAGTGGATGATTTCCATTTGACAGGAAGGTGGGCATCCTCAGCACAGGTCAGAAAAGGGCAGAGAGCAGCAGGGTGAAATCGTGGAGGGTCAAAGGCAATCAGGGCTGGACTGGGACAAAAAATCAGCCCTGGACACTTCATCCAGACCGGCCCACTATGCACACACACACACACACACACAAACACACACACACATCTATACGTGCATTAATCTGCATGTAAAATTACTGATTAGATTTTATTTACTATCAGAACCAAGAAAAAAATATTAAAATAATAAACAAATAAAATGGAAATGACTTTATAAGGCTTTATTGTAAATAACTGGTCTTAATTTATGTGCCGCTTATTGTTCTAATAGAATATTCTTATATACTATATAAACTATATTTCATGAGGTGCAACATCACTGCCAGGACCTACACCTGTATGTCCTGGCAGTGATGTTTCACCTCATGAAATATAGTTTATATAGTATACCTATATTTCATTTATAGCCTACTATATCATTTATATATATATATATATATATATATATATATATATATATATAAATCATTGTTAAAGCTATTAGTCAAGAGCAGTGAGTTATTTATCTTTGTCTTTTGTTCACATTTAGCCTATGACACATAAGGCTTCTGCCTGGCACTTTCAGGGATACAAATTGAAAAAAAAAAATATATATGTGCATATTTATATGCAAAATACTCCTTTCTATAGCTATTTGAAAGGTATGCAAGTATGCAAAATACTCCTTTCTATAGCTATTTTTCAAGTCAACTATGTGCTATTGTCATTAAATGGCTTTCCTGAGGTAACTGTAACGTTCTGTGACATAATTGTTCTCCTGCTGTTTTATTAATCTCTTTCCGTTGTTGAAAAGCACTGATTGATATTATTTATGAGGCATATACCGTTTGATAAGTTGTAGGCTATTGTATCTTATCTTTAAATAAAAAGTAACAGATGATCGGTTTACTTGAACTGAGGCGCCAAAGCGACCTGTCACGTTATTTTCTAGCGGCAAAACGGTATTGTCTGAATTTCGTAATAAAATGGACAGAACCAGAGAGCTGAGAATTTTAAATGTCATTTATATCGATCAGTGAGTGGAGGCCTATTACAGCTGGAATATCGTAACATACTTAAACAAAACAATGCAGAAGGCTACGTGTAGCCTATCATTCTAAATGTCTCACCTCAGCAGTCAGGCGCGCCCTGCTGACATCTTCACTAAAGTCCAGCAAATAATTCATTTATTTTAACACATTTGGTGGCATCTGCCTCAAGTTATTGTCGTTGTCTTGTCGTTTTTTCTCTCTCGACTTCTCGGTCCCCCTTTACGTTTAGAGATGTTACTCTTTTGACATGAATTTCGTTGCACATCATCACATCGCATCACTGCAGTTGTTGTAAAGCGGCCGCTTTTCAAGTCTAGATTTGAACTTGATTCCGATTGGCCATCAGACCTGTTAGTCTCGCAGCTCGCGTCAGCTTCATGCGGCTTCATGAGAGAGACACATGCCCGGAATTGGACAATATAACAATATACTTACGATAGAATAGGCTATATTTACAATTAATAATGATTTAAAAACAAAATACATAACGCGCCGGGCCGCCGGCCCAACCAGACCGCGGCCCACCGGGAATGTCCCGGTAGTCCCGATGGCCAGTACATGCCTGAAGGCAATGTGGTGGGACAGCTCAGGCAAATCACCTTCACATCCTCTCAGGCCAGAAGAAAACAGAAATAGAAACACCTTGATGCAGTGCTCACAGATCCTCATCCTCAAGTGTTATGCAGACGCATAATAAATGCTACGAATGATGTCATGTAATGAGTCAGTTGTTGTTCCCGCTGTGGGATCAGCATTTGAGGTGTGATTACATTCTGTCCTGATGGTGTGTTATCAGTGCCGGCAGATTAGACACCATTTGATGATGTCATGTGTTGCATGTCATTACAATAATGGATTCATGTTTATATTCATGGGAAACCATCCTTAAATATATTTATGTCTGTAGACAAGGAGTGTTTTGTGATTTATCATGTGATTTTATGTGGTTTTCAGTTACAAGGCAGGCATCTACTGTATGGAGGAGCACATTTCTACTTTAGAGTGAGATCAAATGTAAAGATTTTTATTTTATTTTATTTGTAACATCACATCAGTATGTGACTACACAGTAACTCGCATCTGAAAAATATCTCATATCAGCTATGTCTTATGCTTAACGTATCTGCAACTTTATTTCTACACTGATAAAAATAATCTGCTTGATTTACTTAAAAAATATAATGAATTTTTTTGCATAACTTTATTACGTAGATCCAACAAGACAAGTCTTTGTTGAAACTACTTAATTTTTCTGTTTGTTGAAATAGAATTTTCACATAAAGTTAACTTAATTTTAGCATTGCTGTAGTAATTTATTTATGTGTGTGATCTACATAACTTTAAGAGTTCTGAATGAGTAATTTTGATTGAATCCAACAAGCTTTTTACATTTCCATATTACAAATTTCAAGTGGGATCTTTTTTTTTTTTTTTTTTTTTTAATGTTAGTGTATTTTAAAGTTACATTTACTCATTATTAAAAACTTAGTTTTTTACTGAAAGTATAAATGCAAATAGTTATTTTTTACTACTACTATTTCAAAACTGGTACTATCCCCGTGGAATGTGCTAATCAAATATAAGTTGACATTTTCGCCATTTGATAGTAAAAACTGACAAGGTCAGTATACAAAATTTAAAAGTATAATAAAATATATTCACCTCACAGGTTGAAACATTGTGTACAATAGAAAATTGTGCTTTATGGTGGTGCTAAAGGAATGGACGTGGAACATTAAGTGGAAGTTGACAGGCTTTATTGTCTTCAGGAATATGGTAGCAAAATTCCCCTTCAATACTTCAAGATGTGCATGCTGTGACCAAGGGTTAGTTCACCCAAAAAATGAAAATGAAGTCATTAATTACTCACCCCCAAGCTGTACCAACCCCGTAAGACCTTCGTTCATCTTCGGAACACAAATGAAGATATTTTTGATTAAATTTGAGAGGTTGATCACTGCTACATAGGCTGCCTAAGACATTGAAACTTGACGGCCCAGAAAGTCAATGAAGAAAATGTTTAAATATTCCATGTGACTACAGTGGCTCAACTATAAGTTTATCAAGCGACGAGACTACTTTTTGTGCGAAAAAAGACGAGAGTTCAAGAGATTTCCACGACGCATGCGCGAGAACTGTGATCTTCAAATCTATATAAACTTATAGTTGAGCCACTGTAGTCACATGGAATATTTAAACATTTTCTTAATTGATTTTCTGGGCCGTCAAGTTTCAATGTCTTAGGCAGCCTATGTAGCAGTGATCCACCTCTCAAATTTAATCAAAAATATCTTCATTTGTGTTCCGAAGATGAATGAAGGTCTTACGGGGTTGGTACAGCATGGGGGTGAGTAATTAATGACTTCATTTTCATTTTTGGGTGAACTATCCCTTTAAACGTACTACATCAGTCTCAACCATCCAACCAGATGTTTAACTATATTTCAACACTCTCAGTAAGGACTTTTCAATAAAAATAAACATTTACAGAGTATTTTCTATACAATTGTGTTTTTCAGTCATGTACAGTAACATATTCTAAGACTTTAAAGGAACACTCTGACTTTTTGGGACTTAAGCTTATTCACCATATCCCCCAGAGTCAGATAAGTCCATACATACCTTTCTCATCTACGTGTGTGCCGTAACTCTGTCTGACCCACCCACTGCTAGCCTAGCTTAGCACAAAGACTGGTGGTAAATAGCAGTTTACCTAAGTAAACTAAGTCAGTAAGTCAGCAGTCCCGCTAGCATACTAATCCTAATAAGTGTCAAAATAACACCAACACTTTCCTATTTAAATGTTGTGATTTGTATAGTCACAGAGTGTTCAAATAACAAAGTCACATGAGACACAGCCATCTTCTAACCGTATACACACTGGATACTATATTCTCAGAAGGTGAAGCACTTCTTCTATGCAGTGATTTTCTCAAAGCACCTGAGAAGCCCCGTGGTGAGGAGCAGAGAGTTCGCTCAGAGTGTTGCGCTAATCACTCTGACCAAGTAGAAGTGATTCACCTTCTGAGAATATAGTTCCCTGTATGTATACGGTTTTGAAGATGGCTGTGTCTCATATGACCTTGTTATTTGTACACACAGTGACTATAAAAAACACAACATGTAAATAGGAAATGTGGGTGTTATTTTGTCATTTATTAAGATTAGTATGCTAGCTGGATCTGTTTACCTCCAGTCTTTGTGCTAAGCTAGGCTAACAGTGGGTGCGTCTGACTGTTACGGCATGCACAGAGATGAGAAGGGTATGTGTGGACTTATTTAACTCTGGGGGATATGGTGAATAAGCCAAAGTCCCAAAAAGTCCAAACAGAGTTATAAACAACAACGTCTGTCATACTTTTAGGCCATAAGCTGGATTTTGGAGGGCATGTTTTTGTTAACATCCTCCAAAGGTGTATTTTAGTTTATTTGGATAAATAATGCCCATAAGCTATAGGTGCAAGCATGTGCTACACTGGGAATTCCAAAAAGGACCTCTTCTCCCTTGATGGCTATTCCAGCTTGCTTCTCGAGACCTCCATCCCTGGTTTTGGTGACCACGAACATGTTGAGTACAAATGAAGTGATTTCCTCTTGGATGGCTGCAGAATCGTTGTCATCACAAAACTGTGAAATATACAAGAGAGAATTTAACCTACTTTTTGTTTGCTAATGTGAAGAATGTATACAGCTCTTTGCTCTAAACAGAAATCTTGGTGGGATTACGTGCTGTGGTAGTTTTGTTCTATATACTTATGTACATTTGTGCAAGCATGTGCTCGAAGAATGTGCAGTGTGGTGTAGGTCTATGTATTTTATAATGTTAACTTCAAAGAATACTAATAGTAATTTAAAAATGTGGTAGCATTGGATCTGGACGGGAAGGATAACTCTGATAGTTGGAAGTGGTGTGTTGTGATTCTGCCTTCTCACACAGTGACACAGGGAGTGTCGCAATTTCGGTTTCATATCGAATACCAGCCATTATTTCTACTAAAGAAAAGGACAAAAATAGTAACGCACAGTAACTTGGATAAGTAAATTTAATCTGATTACGTTTTTGGAAATAGTAGCGCATTATTGCTTGTGACTGACAAAAGTGTTCAGATTTCAGTTACTTATCCAAGTTACTGTGCATTACTATTTTTGTCTTTTTTTTTTTTTTGTAGAAATGCCAGCATCACTGGTCATGAGTAAGTGTGTCACATGTACTGTATTGAAGAACACTAAAACTTTCTATATAAACAGGACAACAGGAATTTTGCCATTTGACATTATAACTATACCCCCAGTTTTCTCACTACAATAAACCAATTTAGAGAAATTTACAAACCTTTATCCAGTGTAGCCTACTTGTCAGGAGGATCACCTGGTAAGGACACAGTGTTATAGTTAACTGACCAATGCAAGAAACCAAAAACATGGCAAAAAATTGTAACTACAACTATAGCCTAATTAAAAATAGTTTAACATTTTACTCTCTCCACAACACTGCAATTAGTTGACCTGCTCATCAGTAAGCAAATTTTCTTCAGTTTCGGTTTAATTGTTAGCCTACTTTGGGTTTGTTTTCCCTCGGAGCTCCGATGGGGAAGCGTGCAGCGAACCGCGTTATTCTGAAGGCGGGACTATGTTCACGAGATGATTGACGGCTGAAAAACCCCAATGAGCGCTCTAAACATAACACCTTTTACACAACCATGAAGAAAAACAGAGCGCGCAAACTAAATCAATATTTCTAAAAATGCGCCCACGTTTGGAGTTATTCGCGGATGCTGTCAATTCCATCTATGTGAACACAAATAAATTATAAGGATATTATAATGGTTATCTGCACTATTTGACAAAAGAAAAAAAAAAGAAAGAAAGACAGAAAGTCATTGCAACTCAGTTGTGTCATAAATAGTGGCCAAATATCCAAGCTGGAATCTTAAATCTTTCTAATATGATAGTCAGTTTTTAGATCAAGTAAAATGATTTAACGAGTTAATTTTAACGCTGGAGCTGTCCGCGATCTTAGGTAATGTCGTCAGACACTTAGAATAGCATGTCAGTGGCAAAACAAGCAGGTTTTGTGGATGTAAAAGAACGCAATTACCCATATAACGTACGATTTGCCTAGGCCTAACGTTAATTCTTTCGCATCTACACACTGAAGCGGTCTAAGCCTGGCCAATTTAAAAGATTGTTGTTCCCATCAGTCACAAAACACAAATACATATTTTTTTAAAGAATAAAATTAGGCCCAGGTTGGGGGAAAAAAACGATTGATGTTACCCTAATTTATTCATGGCTGCTCTAAAAATCCACGTGCTTGCACTAACATTACATTATTTTATTGCTGGATTATAACGCTGGCTTTAAATTACACTAGAACAAACCATTCTATGGCCACTTGCAAAGTTTCAATTAATGTTAGACTACACGTAAAGCAACATAAAGCAATCCCAGCGTTGCCACATGGTAATTAACAGAAAATCCACGTACGACAAAGCAATCTTCAAATTACATTTAAAGCCTAATTTTTGTACAACAATTGGAACACTGTAAAGAATGTACAAACCCAAGTAACCTTAATTGTTAGCCTACTTTTCTAACTTTATTCTTACCTTGAGTTCAGTCTCCACGTGTAGGCTTCCTCTTCGTTTGAAATGCAAGGGGTTTCCAGACCAAAAAACAGGAAGGGGAGTAATTTTTTGCACTGAGTAAATTAAACAAGGTATTGTTTGTTGAGTGCATGTGCCTCAAAAGATTGGTTGAGATTACTTAGATTCATTTTGTAAGGTAAAAATATGCACATTGTCTTGTGTTTTGAACAAATGAAGATAAATTCAAAACCAGATATATTATGTAAAGATATAAACGTAACATTTTATTGTTAATATTACACATTTTAACTACGTAACATTTACATGCACTCAGAATCATTTTTTTCAGTGTAGTCATTTTGACTCTATATCTCAAAATCAGTGTTTTTTTCTTGAATCATTGAGACACTATTATTATTTGGAATTGTTCATTTTGAAGTTATATTTTTTATGTTTTATAATCAGAATATAGTCAGAATGCTCAGAAATCACAATTGTGTTTTTATACTTTATAATTACTACATTATCATTAGGGCTGGGTATTGACACAAATTTCACAATTCGATTCAATTTCGATTCACAAGCTTGAAATTCGATTTGATTTCGATTCCGATTCGGAATATATAAATAACTCTTCAGAGTTATTTTTTTCTAGCTGACTAACGAGTTGATGTGGGTTTTCTGAGGTAAATATGACGATACATGACATTGATTACGTCTTTCCACGGTTGAAACGCAGATTGAGCGAATCAATGTGACGTGATACGGATTTCGATAAGTTGTACTCTATCTTTTAACACACTTTCAGACGCTCATTCATGTTTATTTGGCGCTGTAACTGGTATTATTAACCCGGAAGAGAGATCAGCGCTGCGGTTTCTCTTGAGCGATCTCACGCCACAGCACCAAAACACTATTTATGCTTTTGAATTTCTAAAGAAAATGGACGTAATTTGAAAATTGAGACTTTGTTTCATATCAATAGTAACAAAGGACAAAGATTATTGTGATTTTTTGGATGCGCAGAGCCGCGATACAATGTTCCATTCATTCAAATGAAACAGGATGACTAATCGATTCTTGAGATTTAAGAATCGATATCGGTTCGTAAAAATTAGAATCGATTAATATCGAGAAATCAATATTTATTACCCAGCCCTAATTATCATGAAATTGTGATTATCTCAGAATTGTGAGTTATTTCGAGTGATTGCATTACTAAATCTAATAATTGTGACTTATTTAAAGTGATTATTGTTACAGTATATCAGAATTGTGAGTAAAAATAATAGTCACAATTCTAATAACAATGCAATGTCAAAATAAGAGTCTTTGCATTGTTATATCTCAGAAATGTGACTATTATTTTGAGTCATTGCATTGTTATATATCATGGATGGATGTCATTTTAATTTTGTTTCACTCCTGAATTCTCCCATATTATAACTAACTACAACCATGTATCAAACACACCATACCGTCATCATTACAATTCCTGTAACCCATCAGAACATTCTAGAAATGTGACATGCCAGACAATTTGGGTTCCATTGAAAGCTTCAGCTTTTTGACACATCTCTTAGGAAAGCTCAGATTCGTATCCTGAAGCCGTTGCTTAATTAGCCGAATCCCCTAGCCGAGAGCCACCTGTGCGCAACACCCAAAAACAGTCATGTATCGTGGCGTCCTCTCCCTCAGCGGTCCACGCTCAACACAGACTAATGCCCGCTCAGCTGGGATTGACTGGCATTTACACAGAGAAGGGCACAAAACAACAGCAGTCCTGTAAACACCCACTCACAAACACACACACACACACAACTCTGACAAGTGCCAAACATTTGCATACACATCCACGTTCCCTTGTGGCTTGTGGAAAAAGACATCCGAATAACAAACAAATCAAACTAATTCCTCATTGGGCTGTTAAACGCAATTAATTAAGAGCAACAGTCATTGACTAAAATGAAACCTTAATCAGTTTTATGGTGTTTTTTTGCGCAGATTATACATTTCAAGGGATTACATGTTACTGACATAAAAGAACAGCTTGTCGTCCTGCTTAACACTGGTAAAGTAAAGCTGCTGATATAATTTGGTACTTGGAGGAAGCAGCTATACTCTAATTTCAGGAGATTGCCATCTGCTTATTTGATTTCCCTTGTTCAATTCTGGTTTGGCTTGCACAGATTAAAAAGCATCTAAGTCTAAACATATCAGAGACTGCATTAGCATCTAGCAAAAAAGCTAAAGATTAATGCGAGGTACATTAGGATCCATGACAACGTTCGATGATTACAACTGGTTACAGTCTCTATGCTAATCCCCCAGGCCACACGGGTACACGCATTAACATTTAAAGGAACGGTTCGCTCAAAAAAAAAAAAAAAACATAATCAACACAGCCTCATTGGAAAACCATGCTTCTATTTTGTTTCTAAACTCCCAAAATGTACCCAAACATACAATTCACATCAGTATCCGGGTGAAATGAACACTAGTGGCAGTAAAACACCAACAAGTTGTGTGGTTAAAGCTACACTCTTGTAGTTTATTCTTAGCTAAAAACACTTAGTTCTTTCAAAAATATATGTGGTCATTAATGTATATTTACTTCTTTCAAGTAATAAAGTATTCTTGTGAGTGTATATTATGCCATTGAAAATACATATGGGTAAGAGGTCGCCATTTTGCCCCTCCATCTTAGCCAAAGTGGGACATTCCCGTTAATTCAAGCTTCGCCTTTTGCGTTTACGTTTGAGTTAACACTCATGGACGAGGTCGAACTGGAAGCCATGTTAATCTTGGACTACACTGGCCACCGTAGGAGTTAAAACGAAATCAGAATTGAGATGAACAGAAACTAATATTCACTGGATGGTCATATACATTTTCACGAGCCTTTGTGATCTCAAGGATGTGTAGAAGCAGAAAAATTGCTTCAGCCAATGTTTTTTTTTTATTTTTTTTTAGCTCATGTTTCCTTTAGTTACTAACGCTAACGCTCCACTAACGCTCAGGTATTTAATGTAGGTGGTATGTTATTTTCAAACACTGTAGAGCATTAACATTTTAGCGCCACTGAATGTTTCATTTCTGAACTGCCCCGATGTGTACAACAACTATCATAATCATTAAAAATCATAAAAAAGTTCATCAAATTTGTGGTGCAAAACTATTTTTAATTTACTTTTAGCACAAATTTCACTTTGAAAGTGACTACCGTGGCTCAACTATATGTTTATCAAGCGACGAGAATACTTTTTGTGCGAAAAAACAAACAAAAATAACGAGTTTATGGAAACTACAGTCGTTAGCAGGATCACTCTGATTTCGTTTTCAGCTTATGTTCAAAACAATCACGTTTAAGCCACTGAATTAGTTTAGTCCGGTTATACGTACAACCGTGAACAGGACATGTTGCCCCTGAGCTCCATAACGACATCTCTCATAAAGATTTGCGTCTTTAAATAGTAAAATAATTCTCCGAAAAACAGCTAGCCTCTTCGCTAACTAACACACAAAATACCATTGGAATGCTACTTCCGCCGCGTCACCGGGAGTTTCACACACTTTTTATTTTTTAAAGGAGCGCCCCCCGGAAACTTGTGGATACATAGATTCCATGACGTACATCTTTTCATCTTACTACTGGAGCTGCCAGTTTGCTAAGTTTAAAATGATTATTAAACAAAGCACAAACTAGACTATGCAAAAGCGGCAGCTCTTCCGATGCACTCAGTGTCCGAATTCACTCATTCGTTTTCATTCACTCCTTCAAGTAAACTATATTAGTGGACTAATGTAGGGAATAGGGGGCGATTTCGAACACATCCTCAGTTACTCAGAATCAATGATTTGGTAATTCGCAAAAGTTCTCGAGTTAACATCTCAGTGGAGCGGACGACTATTGGTGAACAATGACTGAATAAAGACCTGTGGATTTATTGAATAAAGGAGAGACCTTGACTTTGTTGGAGTGAGTGTGCTCTGTCTGGCTCACCGTCTGTCTGTTCTCTCCTCGACTTATTTGCTTGTGACGCACAGTGGACGATGGCAATATTTTAGCAGCTTCGCACAAATAGCAGCTAAAAATAACTCTACTTCATCCGCCGTAATTTGCGAAAGCGAGCGCAGGATCGAACCCTCCGCTCCATATGTAATGCATCACAGGTTTGATGGGCATTGGCATGTGTTAGGACGCAGATGGTCAAAATCACATTTTTAAACAGAACAGATGAATGTTCTCTGGGAAGAATTGTGGCTACAGTACTTCAAGTTAGAGCGACTTAAGGCGAAAACAACCGTCTTGCTTATCCCACAGTGTTATTTTGGTCACCCTCAGATGTGTTAAATTGGTATCAAATGAATTTCTTGTGATGAACCTAATATGTTGTCTTGGTTTCCAGTACAAATATTGAAACATTATTAAATCAAGATACATTTACTTGAGAAGAAAAATTACTTGATAAAAAGTAGTTAGTTGTTTTCTGATAAAATGATGGGAGTTTTTTGCTTAAAACAAGTAGACTTACTTAATTAAAAGGGAAAATTATATATATATATATATATATATATATATATATATATATATATATATTATTTATTTATTTATTTATTTTTGTCTGACCCCACTGACATATTTTTCTGGTAAAACTTTACTTGAAGCCATTATATAATGCATTAATTATGTCCTGATTAATTGCAACCATACTTATGAAACGTATCTAATCAATGCACTAAAACACATGACAAACAACCAATTTCAGATGTAAAAAGGAATCTGCAAATATTATAATGCATTTTATATTTGGTTACAATTATTTATGAAAATATATAATACATAATGAATAAAACAAGGGGGACAACATTACTGATAGCCTATAAATTAAAAAAGCATAACCATTTAATATAAGTCAATTTACGTCTGTATCTTAATTCAAGCACTTTTACCAAATTGTAATGAAAAACAAGACGAAAATACTAAGTATTGCTTTATTTTTAGCGCATGTCCAGCACATTTCACCCTGGAAAACACATATTGTGGGGTTCTTTGCGTGTTTCTTTTGCCAGCTAATCAATGTACTCACACTTACCGTACCAATACAGCGGCGACCCTCATAGAGATCACACAAGCACGCACACCTTTATAGTCTTGTGAATTCAATAAACGGCTCTCTACCCAAACACAACCACATACACATGTGTTATCGCTCTCTTTCACACACAGAATCCGCCGCGTCTGCTCACGTTCTCCTACGCTCTTGTGATTCGACCTTGCTCATGAAAGACTCTATCTGTGGTAGCATCTATTCACCTGGAGATGAAACTGTCATGCGTGCCAGT